TTTTTTGGGGGGGGGGTCCAGGAATTAAACTCAGGACCTTGCACCTGCCAGGCAGGCACAGCATCAAAACCTATTTTTTGTTCTGTATGAGACAGGGTCTTACTTTGTACTCCCAGGCTGGATTTCAAACTCACCTTGTACTCCTTTCAAGAAGGAAATGCTTCTTTAAGATCCGTATCTTGTATTGAGCATGGTGAACATATCTATGATACTAGCTACTTGGGAGGCTGAGGCAGGAGGAGCTCAATTTAGCAAAATTTAAAAAGATCCAGGGATATATATAGTTCAGTGTTCCTTGGTTTCAATGCCCAGTACAATCACTCAATCAATAACTCAATCAACACATAAATAAAATTTAAGAATTTAAAAATTGGAAAATTTTCACCAAGAATAGCTTTAAAACTTAAAGTGGCCGAAATGGATATCCTTTGTTATGAACAAAAGTGTTAATGTAGGAGGCACCTGAAACAAAAAGGGCACACCTTCTTTATGAGAAGTTTGTTATGTTCTTAAGAAAGATCAATTTACTGTATATAAGGTCAAATTTCTCAAAAAAAGAAAAAAAAAGACAAATAATATAGGATAGGGTCATAGTTTAGGGCAACTTTGAAGACAAAAGGAAACTGACCAAATTAACTCAAGACAACAGATTCCACCCCAAATCTAAATAAAGGGCCCACAGAACCACGTATGGGTTTATTAAGGCTACTTATCCAATTTTGTGATTTATAGCAATTCTAAAGATTGCCTCTGAGAGGACTCTTAAGGACATAAACAAATCAGTCTTCCCTAAAAGAGTTATAATGAATTCAGGCGTGGCACCAACTATAATAACCATGTACATTCTGGTATTTAATCATCTAACATTTTTAAAGGTTCTAAGTTACAATAAGACAGGAAAAAATAAGTTCTGGTGTTGTATTACATAATAAGGCGACTATTTCTCAATAAAGCTAGAAGAAAGGATTTTGAATATACCCATCACAAAGAAATGAGAAGTGTCTCAAAAGAGGTAGATAGGCTTATCCTGATTCAAAAATTATACAATGTTTACATTACACAGTATCACATATGCATGTATACCCATAAAGGTATATAGTTTTTATGCAGATATTAAAACTTTCACGTTAAAACCAATAGAATTTATCAATCCCCGGTACCCCCCCCAAAAAAACCAATAGAATTTAATCGAACATCTTTAAATGTTGTTCATAATTCATTTGTTTAAGATTGTTATTTTTGTTTTCAATTCTAATTTCGGAGCTAGACTGATAAAGATATAAAAAGGCAGGTACTCAGGTAGCTAAGCATTCTAAGTAGTGAAATCCCCACCCCCACCCACCTCCTCAGTTATGCTCTCCACAGTTTCAGTTACCTGCAGCTGAGCACAGTCTAAAAATAATAAATAGAAAATTCCTGAAATATTTCCTAAGTTTTAACTTACAGGACACTAAGTAGCATAATGAAATCCCACAACCTCCTGCTCCATCCCACCAGTGTATTTGTACACACGACTGCCTGGCAATTCCCACCTCAGGTGTCTTTTAAAAATTATACACCATAGCCCAGCACGGTGGAGCATGTCGGCAATCCCAGTACTCTAGGTGGCTGAGGCAAGAAAACCATCTCAAAATTGTCTCAAGATAAAACTGTAAAAGGTGTAAAGGGCTGGGATGTAGCTGAGTATGAAGACCCTGAGTTCAATCTCTCAAAACTGAAAAAAGAAACAAACAAAACCACACGCAAAAAAATCCCTAATTCATGCCATAAATACTTTTAGTAAAAGACATAAATTTTTACTTAAAATTATAAATCTCACACTGCATTTCTATTTCCTTAACAAAGAAAGCACAGAATTCAATATTTACTCTCAAGCATCTGGCTCAATTCTACAAATCTATAAAGAATGCTCAATTTTAGTGCCTCAATTTTAAAGAATTCCTTCAGCTTTCTGAGGACATTCTCACAGACACTACACGCACGCAAAGTAAAAAGTAAACTCATGATACTTTCAAAACATCTGATTTGTTCTAGCTGTCAAAATAGTACAAAGTCTCAATACAACTTATCTGTATTTCTACACAATCTCACATTTACAGTTATTCCCTCACTGTTTTTGACATTTCCACAAACCTTAAAAAATTTCTAAATTCCTGTTATCACCAATTTTTAAAAAGTACTTCTTCTGACACCTGTGACTTATATCTTTCACTACCATCCTATTACTTACAATGAAGTCTCATGTAAGTCATTTATTGTAGTACAACCACTGAATTTTAATTCTATTCCCCAAAATATGAACTTTATCTAGAAACATAAACTGCTGCCTACTTTGATACCTGCAACTAGAAGACTATGCAAACAAAACATTAGGACTCGAAGTATCTCAGATAATCTGTAGGATTACCATATTCCAATTAACTTTACAGAAAAAAAAAAGAATTTCACAAAATGAAATCTATCAATACACTTTTAACAAACAGGGAAAACAAAAGCCCACAGGATTTATTTGAAATAACATACTCAGAAAAAGGCAGCCCTACCTAGAACCAAGTACGATCATGAACTGCCTAATGATGTTTTGCTCAACAGTAGATAGCATATTTGAAGAAGGTGGTCAAATAAGATTATAATGGAGCTGGAAAATTCCTACCACCCAGGAATGCCAGCAGTCTTGGAGGCCTGAGAGAAAACATTACAAGTCTGTGGTGCTGCTATAAACAAACTTACTCTGCTGCCAGTATAAAAAAGTATAGAGCATATTGCTATGCACAGTGCATACTACTTGATGAAGCTAATAACTATGTTACTGCTCTGTGGATTATTATACTATACTACTTATTATTAGAGTATATCCCTACTTATTTTAAAAGTTTACTGTAGAATACCATGCTGTTACATTTTCCTACATATATAAAGGAAAACAAATTTGTAGTTAGAAACATTCTAGAAAAGGAAACATGTTCTGGTGGTTTCACAGCAAATGTTATAAAACATTAGGAAAAATCATTGTAATTAAACATTCTCTCTTGCAGAAAAAGAAGAGAATATTTCTCAACTCAAAATATCAAAGAGATATTACAAGAAAACAGCAGACAACATCTCTTAAGAATATACATTAAAAAAATCATCAACAAAATATAAGCAAATCCAATCCAACAATATTAAAAATGCCCCAGCCGGCGCTCGGCCCCGGGCGGGGGAGGACAGCCCGCTTGGCCGTGTGAGTGTAGCAGAAGTAACTGCCGGGCACCCGTCCCCACAGCACCGCCCAGCTACGCGGACGTGGTCACCGAGGAGCAGCGGCGCAGCAACCTGGCGCCCGGCAGTGCCTGTGAGGACCTGGAGCGTGCGCTGCAGGGCCCGCTGTTCGCCTACATCCAGGAGTTCCGCTTCCTGCCGCCGCCGCTCTACTCCGAGGTGAGGGGCGCTGCACGCCTGTGAGGGCCGCGGTGTGGGGCACAGCCGTGAGCTTGAGGCCCGATGGCAGGGTGCCAGGGTTCCACCCTGACGGAGGAGGTGCGTCCCTGCGGAAATGAAGTAATGGTCTGACTTCGTGTTGGATCTTTTCATTTATTTATATGTAGATCTTATATGTTAAGACATCAGTGAAAAAAGCCGGCATTTTGGGAGCATTGATTAAGCAGAACTTACCTTGCACGTGATCCCCTCCACCCCCCGCCCCATGGATCGAACTCGGGACCTTGCACTGGCCAGGCAGGTGCGGTGCCACTGAGCCACGTCCCGGGCCAGCAGTTAAAGTTAACATTCTTATCACGGAAAATAGCGCATTCCTGCACTGCTGGGCTCCTCCCGAGAGAGAGCATCTGTGTGCTCACAGGAGTGGGCTCTGCCCGCTCACCTGGGAGCACAGGTGCACAGGAGGGAAAAGTACACCTCGGAGCAGTGTCTTAGGTCAGCAATGCTGAGAACGCTGCCGCTGCCGGAACCCTGAGGACAGCGGATGCAGCGGTCCAGGGTTTCCACAAAGACCGAGGCGGTACTACATGTTTTGTGGGCCTTTGAAGTTGGCCTTAAAGCATTATCGTTTTGCAGGTCCTGGGTACTAGCTTGTTCTTTGGTTTACTGTGGTTTATGCTGTTTTGCAACACCGTAGTCCGTAGTCAATTGGGCAAGAAGGGGAACTGTTTTTACTCGATGTTTTTTTTTTTTTTTTTTTTTTTTTTTAATAGGGTCTTGCTCTGCAGTTGAGGGAGGCTGCTTTTTGAGGTCATAGAGATTCTCCTGCCTCAGCCTCCTGGGGGCTGGGATTATATGCGTGTGCCACCACGCCCAGTTCTTTGCTTTTGGTTTTGGTTTTCTTTGTCTTTGTTTTGATGGGATGTCTGATTGTTTTTCTTCTTTTTTTTGTCTCTTTTGGGTTAAACCTGGGTCTTGGACACACACTACATCCCCAGCCCTTCCTTATTTTTAAACATTTTATTCTGAGATAGGGTCTCGGTAAATTGCCCCCATTGGACTAGAACTCATAACCCTCTTGCCGTGGCCTCCAGAGCATGCTGGGCACGTGCCTTGTCAGTACTGCCCTCTTTGAAGGGCCCTGACTCCAGGCACTGGGAACAGCAGCCATCCACATCCAGCTCCCTGAGTCCCTCCTCCAGGATGAACTTAGGTCATTTGAAGTCTTAAAACCTTCTAGTTGCTAGAGGTCCTTTCCCTGTTTTCCTTCAAAACCGTTCCTGGCCCCTGAGGTGTGTGTCACAGGGAGGAGACCAGTGTCTCTCGCCCCTGTGACCCCTGGTGAGGATGGCACCATCTCCCGGGCGGAGGGGGGACGTGCAGGAACCGGGCCATCGCAGCGCTGACCCCGCGTGGTTCCCCACAGG